GGTCTCTGTGGTGTAATCCACACGCCTTACCAATTACACCAACTCGTATTGACAATTCACGACGAAATTTACAATCTCTAGGCAACGTTTGACAACAATCCATTGACGTCATGATGTCAAAGAGTTTGAACCACTTTTCCGTCACACTGCCCCCCTCTTAGATTCGCTCGTCCCGAGCATCGTTGCTGCCGTAATACCTCGCCAACCTGTCTATATGGACAACTTTCAAAGGGCTCCTTGAAGTCTTCCGAATTCTGTAAGTTATGTCATTGATCTTCGTGACTATCTCATAAGGACCTTCCCAACTCGGTTGCAGCTTCGGAGATTTTCCCTTCCTTCTGACTGGATTATGAAGCCAGATCAATGACCCCTCTTCAAACCCAACAGAATTGGCTCGTCGTTCATAGCGCGTTTTTGCGCGATCACTAGCTTGAAGACCGGCCTCCCTGATCTGCTGGTAAATGTCCAACATTTTTGCCCTTAACTCGCTTATGTAATCGCTAAACTCGGTGCGAGTGTCGCCAGGTGGACAGCCCGATACAAGATCTGCCGGTAATCTCAATTCCCTTCCAAAATTTGCAAATGCAGGCGTCTTTGCGGTACTTTCATGTACAGCAGTCCGATAGGCAAGCAAGAAGCGAGGTATGTAAGTGTCCCAATCTCTCTGATGGCTGTCAACCACCTTTGCTAAGTGTCGCTCCAATGTTTGGTTGAAACGTTCGACCATTCCATCTGACTGTGGATGATAAGGGGTCGTTCGAGTCTTATGGATTCCCAAAAGTTTACAAGTTTCCTGAAAAACTTGGGATTCAAAGTTCCGCCCTTGATCACTGTGCATCTCCAAGGGCACTCCGAATCGGGTGAATACCTCATTTACCAACTTCGTGGCTACAGTTAAAGTTAGTAAAAAGCGCTACAATGAGTGCTATATTATTTTTTTATACTTTGTTACTAATTTACTTTTGAAATATATTTTTGATAGCCTTTTAGAGCGGGCGACATATTTTAATGTAAAGTGGTATTATTTTAAAACGCATTTTTTAATTTGTAAGTTTATGTCGATTTTTCGTTAAAAATAAACAATTTGATTATGAAATTAATTTGTTTTATTTTGTCTTAATTTAACATACATAGGAGCTATGATATTTATCTTTTTAAACCAAAGTATAAAAATAGCTTGGTCTAGATCTACCTACAATTAGTATCTTGGTTAAAAATTCCCAGTTGGACGCAGCTTATTTCTGGAGCATAAGTAAATTAACTCTGATCATAAGAACGTGTTATTGTTGTTTAGGCATTTTTTCCACACTCAAAGTCTGAAAAAATATGTTTGAAAGACTTATTTCCTATTTTATATTAAGTGTTTCTTGTCGGTTGGTATTTTTTTCCTGTTTGTAATTTAAATTTAAATGTTACTAAGCGACACCAACTTATTAATTAGCAAGCTAAACGGAAATCTATGTATAGCAAATAATAAAGGGTCTAAACAGCTTTTAAATTTCGTTGGAACTACGACAATACAATAAATAGGTGATTTGACATAATAAAAAATTTAAAAAATCATACTTTAAATGGTTCTCCTGTAAAGTTGGCTACATGTCGCTTAGTAAATTTTTCCTTTCAAGCGTCGATATTATATTGTAGGTACATCTGTATGCAGACCAGGTAGGTGTCAGTAAGTGGTGCAGTGACTTAGTCGTAGAGGTCATCGCCGGCTGAACTTGACTAACGGACCTCCGACACAGATTACTTAATAATTCTTACCTCTACGGAAACAATTACATTTAATACAAAAATTACAGGTAACTACGACACGTATCGAATAAATCTGTCACTCTGATGTTAGTGTCTGACTTGATTAATGCTAATAATAAGTATTCCACGGCTGTCCTGTCTCGTTATGAAATAAATGAGTTATTTAATACTTAGTCTTGTAAAGGGACGTTTCGAGAAATAACTCGTAACGTTGAAGAATCACGATTGCTCAAACCCAACTTTTATGGACTGTCGTCTTCACGAGCGGAGATAATTGTATCTTAAAATGTTGTTGGATCGTGCATCACGACACCAACTTTTACTTTCGGTATTTAAACACATTTAAAATGTAGATAATTATCTACAAACTAGAATACTTACTTCTTTATTATGAACACAGTTCTGATAATGATTAACTTACCTGCTCAAGTAACTTAATTTTTTCAACTTATTCAATGTGTTCATTGTCTTGAAACTGTATGAAAAGTAAGTACTTTGTAGAGAAGCTTATTTGCTTTGTGGTAGCAATGCATTTTGAAGGTTTTGAGATGAAGGGCCGTTAAGCAATTCTCTTCTATATTTCTATTAGGTATATTGCTTTTTATGGACAAATCAATAGGTTACATTCACATTCTATTCCTACATCAGGTCAATGACTTCTGAAGTAGCTATACATTAGCTACTTACGTCAGTTGAAGATATCAGTCACAGACCGATCAATGATATAAGACACCTTGGCCTAGTTGTCCTCGAAGCAACACTAATTAACAGCAACAGTAATTTGAAGGATGGTAAAAAGAGACAAAATAGAAGAGACGGTCAAAGCTGATCTGCCAGCGTATAAGATCACTAAATAAACATGCCAGCCGAAAGCAATGCAATGCTTTGTGCCATACCATACCAGCATTCATAGCATTGCTGTACGTATTAAGTACCTAAGGGCCGCCAACCATGCAATGAGAAACAGTGGTCGGCGCCCGCGCATTTGTTTCCCGCGCCAACTATTTGTTTCAGTGAATGCATAAAATCAATTAGCCGAACCTGTTAGCTAATAAGATGAAAGAGAATAAGTATATACATATGTCTCCTCTCGATTCCCTGTCTGCAGTCACGGTCATAAATTAAATGAAAATGAACTCGTAAAAAAACTATTAGGTAGGTACGTGGATCACGTGACAATCGTGGTAGCATAATAATATCTTATACAAGTTATGTATAATATAGAATGTTAATGCCTACCTACTACCCGCACAACGCACGTATACCTACTATTTAATATGTGTCGTGTACAAAAAAATAATAAGTTTATTATTGATTGTTTCAGTAGGTACTACACTGATATAGTCAAATAAATTATTGCGAGTAGTTCGGTGCCTAGGCAGGTTCTCATAACATTTGCGGTTCAACAAAATTATCCCTGTAATAATGCAAATAGGTACAACTGTCATTCGATAGCTGGTAATCATGTCAATTTGATTTGATTACTAGAATTACGAGGCACTGTTTGAATATCAAACAAAGTTACGAATAACTGCGATTTACTTAGTAGGCACATATTATATTAAGAAATGACTTTTATTTGATCAACTACACGGTTCGTTTTACCTTTATATTGATAAGTTATTCATTTATTTTGTTAAGGTGCCTATGAGATTTTTACTTAGTTCAGAATTACAGTTTTAACACCACCAACTGTTCTCCGTGTATATTTAACTAGATTAGAACAAAAGAAGATTGTAAGAAGATACCTGTGATAACTCATCAAGAGGTTAACGATCGCTTGCTATTGATAACTCCCAATAATTTACAATTATAATATTGTAATGAGAAGAAGCGTTATCCTAGGGCATAAACAACGAATTCAGTCTTTATTACAATAATTTATTCATCAACTGATATTGACACATTTGTCACTATATAATTAAAATTATAACACCGTTCCTTATTGTGTCGATATTACACTACACCTACAATAATTAACCGTCTCTATATTGAGTAGAAATATCCCATGTAAGTCAGGTCACCAACCCTGTAATTAAAAGTACCTTGGTATTGGTTAGACCTCCTTGAAGGCAAATAGTCAACGGATGCCGACGCCAAGGCAAGTTAATAACCATGTACCACAATAGTGGCACGTAACAGTTATAAGTTAATACAATAGAACAAAACCTATTTGGTACGGTATCAACACCCAGACTGTTTTCTGGGACCTTCGCTGCTTCTATGCCAATTAACGAATTAAAACAATGCGAAATCGTACAAAGCGTTTCACGTCGCGTCATACCATGAGACAATTGTCTTTTATGTCCATTTAGAACCACGTTTATCCTTTTCATCGGACACCGTGTAAATAATAAACAATATTGTCATTGTATGTATATTTTATTTGCTTTCAAATGAACAGCCGGTTTAGAGAAAGCGTGGTATCGCGTACTCTTGATCACAATTGGCCTCGATCCTCTAATCCACGCAGTGCATCAGGATTCCCACCACGGAACAATGTCATCAACGTCAAATGTATATTCTCTCACATGCCCATGAACATTGGCAGTTGAAAAAGGTCGCTAAGCTATTATTGTCTCGAGTAATTTATTTTTATCAATGAATTTGTTACGCGTCACTGGCTGTTACGGTATAATTTCGTTGATATACATTTAGCTTGCGATTTACTGAACCTTTGGAATAAATATCGATGTTTTGTCATCATTAAAATATTGGATGCAATGACAAGATTCACATGACTTTGAAATAATGTGGCCTGGTTACCTTATAAGTATTTTATTAACGAGTTAAAGAAAAATATCACATTTTCCTAGTGTAATAATTCACGGCCTCAAGTTATGTTTCTGGGTCGCCGAAAAAGTGGTGGAATAAAAAAAGATTGGTTTAAACCTTGAGCCGCCGGCACAAGGTGAATAAGAAGACATCGTACTCCTCAAGGTGAATATCTTTTTAGGTTTGGTGACTTGGTCATCTACTTAGCACAACCACAACCTAACGTAGATAGGTAGGTTGGTAGGTGACTTAGTAGGTATGTATCAAAAATACTTATCAGCTTGAAAAGAAATCGGAAAAGAAAACGTTATTTATTCGGCATCAACATTTCTTTGTCTGGCATCAGGCAAGCTGCATTTAAACATTGCATTCGTACCCTTTCTACTTCCTGAACTATTTCTATTTTGTTTAGATACAAACTATTCGAATACTCACAGTAGATACTACCAATTCCGCCGAGTTGATTAAAGATGCCGTCCAAGTACAGTCCACTCCTAAACTGTAAGTAAATATCTTCCGACTTACTGCCTTTTATGGGCACATTGAAAGCCTAACTGAAGATGGTATAGTGGCATCGCTAAAATGATTTATACATGAACTAATACGAACAATAAAATGCGGAATAAGGGGCTTCATTGACAATCAGATGACTCAGATATGTAGGTACCGGATCTTAGAAATATATTCACTGCGACGTACCTAGGTTACAATGATATATCTAAAGCTGATCTCTCCAAGTTTTTGCTTTATATATTAAATTTAACAATACTTGTCTTAAAGTAGGTGTTGCATAGCTGCGTTACCTAAAATATTTGCTTTCAGAATATACTTTCGTATGTTCTTGTTTAACTAGTCAGCTAGTAATTTAGGTGGGTATAAAGTTTCAATCTAAAATGTTAATCTAACAGAAATAACTGTAGAATTATTCTATTTATTATATTTATGTAGATATATGAAATTCAACAAAGTTACATAATCTTTAAGCAGGTAAGTATAATGAATCTTAAGCACTGTATAAGGACTATATAGGTCCGTAGATACTTAATGTTTTTATTTTAACAAAAGCAAACTCAATTTGTAGATATGCTTTGTTAGTTAGACCTGTTGATGTATATTATCTGGCGTGAATTATGGATCCAACGACGGCTTTTCCTATGTGTCCCCCAAGGTACAAAGGAGTCATCCATGATCTCCTTTACCTATTGATTTTAATAGTAAAGTAATGATTGAAATATGGTTCTTTGAAAGGAAGTAGCAATTAAAGTTATAGAAACATCTCTTTAACTGACCTAACTCCTATTAATTGATCGTATAGCTTTATAAATGTTGATGTTCTTGACTTTCATAGATCTCAATACTGCATTTAATTGCCTTCGGATGTAGTTTTCCGTCGTATTATAATGTTCATGAACGTTATCAAAGCTAGCCCTAGTGTGTAGGCACGTGGTACAGGTGTATGTGTGTGTTGTATTCAGGAAACCCATGGACCATTTCATAATAAGTATAATGACAATGTTCCGTTGTTGAAGGCACACAAAGGCAAACACGCTTCAACTGATTCCATCGTGAAATACCTGGTGTTCCGATTCCTTCCTATTTTTTTTTAAAGCGTTGCCCCACATTATTTATTTCTCCTGTGTCGTGGGTGCAGTTACGAACATAGAATTTCACATACCCATGACACCCAGACCCAAAACAACAATTTGTAGATCACACAAAGAGTTGTTCCGTGCGGGAATCGAACTCGCGACACGTTGCACGGCAGCCAGTTGCCCAGCCACCGCGCCAATCGTGCTGTCGAAAATTATGTTATGTACTTACATTGCCTGTTTGTCTATTAAATTTATACATTTACTTACGTAACAGTTTCTAGACTAATTAATACTACCTAAGCATAAAAATGTCTTAAGAAATAACTCGGTATAAAGTAGCCTAAATTGCTTGCTTCCGTTACTTGACGGTTAAGTAGTTCATTCTAGTGAACGGATCCGTTCTGATGACGTCTTTACTTAAAAGTAGGTGCAACAAAGGTGTTTATTAAACGTTAAAAGAATATCATTATGACACAAATTACTGTCATTTTAATTATGTAAAAAAATGATCGCCCAGTTTAATTTGAATCCGTTTAGAAAGAAGCACCTGTTTATTTAGTAGCATTCAATAATTAATTTACCGACATCGACAAAAACGGAGTGAAATACTTATTAGGTATATGAAATACCTAATATCGATAATTTTATTCGTATCACTATCCATGATGTCTATATTTATATTTGGTCTTGTATTCGTAATTCGTATGGTTAGATATGGTTATTCGTATGTCATGCACAACAGAATGTAATTTTTTAATCTTTCTTTTGTTTCTTTTTCAGCACTCACGCAAGGTGAAGAATTTGGCTACGATGGAAATATTGGTAAGAATAAAATCTAAGTACGAGTACCTATGTATCTAGGTCTTATTCCTCATTTCCAGTAACTTGTTACTTCTATTTAGTTCAAATAATAAATGAGACTAGGTAGGTACTTAAATACGTGATCGAAATCTGAACATTGCTTAGGTTTTTATCTGAACGAAATACCTAGGAAGAAGTCATTGCATACGTAACAGTAACCTACCTACCTACTACTAGGTATGTACATAACTTTGATATATTTCATGTATGCTTATCTATAAGGTAGAGTCCGTTTGTCATCCAAGAAGGTAAGCATTAGGTAGTAGTAGGGTACCTATCATATTTATGGTTATCAAGTTTCTCCCATAAATATAATATAGGAAGACCGAAACAACTAACTGCGTAATGAATGAGTTTATGATTTATTTGACAGTTATATCCTGTAGAGTAATAGGAAATGGACATCGTAGTTAACACCTGGGCCTTCACTGACCACCTGCAAGGCTGCAACGATTTGCTTAGTAGAAATCTTCGTGATAAACATTTATGTAGAATGTTGGTAAAATTTCTCTAAGTATTTACAGTTCGATAAAATGTGATAATTCTTTGTCTATTTTTGCACTTCCACCGAGTTCCACCATAATTTATAAAGCATTTTTTATACGATGATAATCATCATCATCAGCCTATAAGTGCCCACTGCTGAGCAAAGGCCTCTTCTCACACGGAGAAGGTTAGAGCATTAATCACCACGCTTGCTCAATGTGGGTTGGCGATTTCAAACTTATAATAAGAAATTATAAGTCCAGGTTTCCTCACGATTCCTTCACCGTATGTCACTGGTGTCTAAATAATCATAGAAAGTACATATAACTCGGAAAAAGTCACATTGGTCACACAGTCACTTGCCAGGTTTCGAACCAACACCCTCTAGCATGAGAAGCAGGCTCCTTAACCTCCGGGCCACAACGACAGACGGTATACGATGATAATACACACATAATACGAGCCGGCGCTGCCCATGGATACTTACAACAACAGCGTAGTTGTAAGTACGCTAAAGGCCTTTTGGGGATAAGGGACAGGATTAAACATCCGATCATCTGAATCACACAACGAAATACAACATTTTGGTTGTTTCACGCCGGTTTTCTGTGAGGCCGTGGTATCACTCCGGTCGAGCCGGCCCAATCGTGACAAAGCATGGCTCTGCCACACTTCATTTATCATTAGAATGTTAGACTTAATTTCGTGTCCACGTGTCCATTACACATAGGTAGTTATTGCTGAATAATTTATGAGCATAATGCAGTGACAATGTTTCCTAAAGATAAAATAGATAACATTGAATAATTAAAATAAATAATAAGTAATGCAATGTTCATGTTACTAGATCACACAATTGATACGAAAATAGCTTTAAATACCTAAACGGCAAACTATTCACAGTTTTTACATGTCCCGTTTGAATCTAAAAATATATGTATACCATTGCATTGCGTGCGCTTTTAGCGTTTAAATCGGAAATCTAATTGTTTTGAAATTGAAAGTTATCGCACCAGTGGTATGAAGGCTATATTGTAGTTTAGCGTGCAAAAAACCGTAAAAGAACAGATTTTTTTCTTTAACTCGATTGTAGGTATACGCAATCTAATAGCAGGTATTGGGAATTATTATTGGATGTCAATTGAAAAGCGCCCTGTTCAATCTTCTGTCCTGTCACACATGCATGTAGGATACTGTTTAGATATCTACGTATAGATATTATTTGGCTTTCGACGGGTTAAATTTCCATAAAAATACTGACACAAAACACTGTCAACAAGTATGTATTTAAATTACTGGAATTCTTAGTAACTTACACAGATTACGAAAAGGAGCCAATATCTTCATTCGTATTGCGAATATAGACTATAGCTCTAATAATTCTTTAGCATAACATTGTTTTCCGTAGGTCCAGAATATTGGGGTGAGCGGTATAGAGAGTGCGCTGGCAAACATCAAAGCCCGATAAACATCAACGTACTTCGAGTGAAGCAAGTCACGTTACCCGACCTCGTCCTCGTAGGCTTCGACGACTCCATTGACGACGTTCACGTCACCAACAATGGACACACAGGTATGAACATTTCATATTAAGAAATACCAACGTGAGTGAGCAGAACAGATATAAATTGTTCGTAATGAGAAACATTTTCGTCTTGGTATCATGAATAAACAACGTTGTTGAATATGTACAACTGAAACCAAGCCCAATACTTAATTGAATGCATTAACATTACCGGCCTAAGTGCCTACATCGCCACTAGTAGACGTAGACAGTAAGCCTACCTAAAATATTAGCGTTTAGGTTCCAAAACTCCCTCAGACTCAGCCCTACAGGGCTCATGTTCCGCCAGGGTTGCGGGGTAAGCGCAATGGGGCACGGGGAAAATCATCAAATGACTTCTCCCGCCAAAGGCAAGGCGACAGAGAGTGTCAGACTCATATTGACTAAAAACTTTAATAGTGTTGCCACAGCAAACGTTTTTTAATTCCAAATTCCACATGTCAGACTCTTTATATTTTAATAATTATTTGTTTAACTTTTTTATGTTACTCCTAGTAGTGTGTTTCTAACAACAATATGGTTGCACTGTGCACTTGATACAACTTGAATTAGATAGATACTTTATGCATGACCAACATCCTATGGGCGGTAGAGTCATGCTTTTTGTGGCATAGCAAATGAATTGCATTTTAGATGTTTTGTAATGAAAAAAACTGTTAGCAATTTATAGTATAGAAAACGTAAGTTAAAGTTAATACAAAAATGTAAAGTGACCTGGATCCTATGTCCTGAACGCTTGGAAGCGAACAGATAAAAGTGACGAGTACTTAAGTGATTGCGGGCCATAACATCAGAGGATAATTAGTAGGTCTTTAACATTAAAAATTGTTAAGATTTACTCAAGGCAAAATAACTCCTGTTTAGGTATCTAAGAATGTTCTGCGCTGTTAAGTATAAGCTGGAGATATTTTACAAATTATTGTAAAAACTTAGGTAACTTACTAAAACGATTTCTACTAATTTACTTAGATAAAAATTAGCTAGGTAGTAAGTAATAGATATATTTTATGTAGGTATTTAGTATCATAGATAAGAAAAGAAAAGCTGAGTTCATTCGTGAAAAAAAAAACGTTGCGTTAAGTAAAATAAACGTTCCACTATGTGAAAGCACAAATTCGTTCGTGCAGAGTACAATGTGGGTACTAAATTTTATGTGACCTTAATTTGTACTTAAAAATTTTATGGTTGTGGTATCATTTTGAACTGCAGCAAGGTAAACTGTAGATACTATAAAACCTTTGCTTACCTTACTTAGTGTGGAAAATCATACAATGACTTCTACGGGGGGGAAAGAGAGTGACAGGTACTATTACTGACTAACTAATTTAAATGCTTAGATTCCTATAGTGGCTACTAGCTGGAGAGCCCTGAAATTAAATAAGAAACAATGACATTATATTAAGTAGTTCCTAGAAACAAATTTAGCATGGGTTCCATAATGCCCTTTGTTCATTAATTCTCTGTTTAGCTACACACATAGATTTCCATTAATAATACAAGCTTTTCTATAGATAGGTACCTAGGTATTTATGGAAATAGGTTCCATTTAGGCAGACACCTTTTTGTCGGGAAAATCATCAATTACTTCTTCCGTCCAGGGTCGGGCAGGGTCCCGTCAGAATGGCAGACTCTTACTGACTAAAAACCCCAGGTCCCTTCTTACCGAGGCCGTAGTGCTTTATTGCGCGTGCCCTGCAACCTCGGCTGAACATCAGCCCTATAGGGTAGACAGATACCTAAAGGGACATTCGAACCCACTATTTTCATTTGTTAATATTTCTTTCAGTTTTGATAGAGGTGCAAAATGAACCACATCCACGAGTGAGAGGAGGGCCGCTTGACGGAGACTATATATTTAGTCAAATGCACTTCCATTGGGGAGACAATGACACATTCGGTTCTGAGGACAAGATCAACCATAGAAGGTGAGAAATTATTTACTAACATCAATAATAAATTGGATCAGAAATAACTTGTCCTTTACCAAACAAGGATCGATGGATAATTCTTCATAAGGATAAATAATTTAAATACGTTGTGCAAGCAAATAAGGTGAATAAAATTTATGTATCATGATGTTTACGATTTTGCCATTTTTGGGATGATTTTAATGTAGGTCGTGTGTAGGTCAGGTGATTTGTGTATTGTAAATTTTGCTTTAAAATTTTCCAGTTTCCCTATGGAATTGCACATGGTGTTCTTTAAAGAGGAATATCAATCAGCGGCGGAAGCTGTTAAACATTCAGATGGTTTGACAGTGCTCGCATTCTTCTATGAGGTCAGTTTTAAATACATCTTTTATTTATATGATTATTACAATTTATTAACACAGTTTCGATACACAAGGTGCGAATATTCAGTGTCGTAGGTAGGTGCCTACCTAATGCGTACTAATGCATCTAAGTAAGTACAGTTGTACTTAAAACAACACGGATCGTGAAACGTTTACGAATAGGACTGACTTATCGTAACACGTGCAAGTTAATAGCATTGATCAAACGTAGACTGGTGGCTGCCAAATGTGTTGATATGATTACAGCCAGACAACTAGGTATAATGTAGGTACTCAAAGTCTAATTCATCACATTTGGCGCACTGCCGTCGTGTCTTACATTTAGGTAACATTGACACAAATTCATTGTTGTTGTAGCTGTAGCTGGTACAAAACGATAAATTCGCAACTGGTTATCATCATGACCAGTTGGGTAATCAAATAAGTATCTACATACCTACCCTATAAAAATACCCAAGTACATATTTTTTCTCAAAAATATCCTTTGCTCAGATGTAAGCAGAAATAGGAATGTACGATTGATTCGTATATACCTAGGTATGTAGGTAACAAGCGGGTACCGCCTTTTCTTATTTTACTTTTCTACAGATGTATCTAGTAGATACCTATAGTAGGTAACCTTTTACCTTGTTAAAGCAGACGACAGTTGCTCGAATAGCACGGGGACGTCGAATCGAGCAAGATTAGTCATTTTTATTGGTTTTAAAAATTACTCACTGGCTGTGCGCAGTCAATAACTTTTAAAACCATAAACTACTAGGACGAAATATTTACCATAACATACACGATTTAGGTACGGTACTTACAAATTTTGAACAGTATAGGTATATAGAATAATAATATATAGAACAGTATAATAATATGTTTTTCTTACTAACTGTGTAACTAACTTACCTACTAAGTACTTATCCGTTATCGTATCCGAGGTAAAAAGGAGGCTACCTACCTACCTGTTCTATTATGTTAATATAGACTACAGATAATTATATTCAAGTTTTTGCCAAATATCATAGATCTAGTCGATTAGGTAAGGTAGTCTGCTTCTTGATCTACTTTTATTTCATTTTACGCAACGCCCGACCGTTGTTTCAGAATAGAACACAGCTATAGCAGTCAGTAGTCACTTTCGAGCGCTAGCCGTGACTTCCGAGTCCAAAGTCACGGTCAATGTTCGAAAGTGAATGAACACAGCAGATACGCTTAGTTTCGCTTCAGATTCCAAATTGTACTGATTTGGATCATCGATCTTTTTATTCACTCAATACCTGCTAGTTTATGGACTACTAGTCATCTCGTACTACATATTTACTGTTCTACATTAATTTTAAATTCGCATAACCTACTTACTTGGATCCTATACGGATAGAGGCCACGTTTACTTATTACGTGGGAAATTTAAACTTACAATTGCAATTTTCCAGTTGGATCGCCATCAGCACCCTGCATATGATGACATAACATCAGCACTAGTAAACGTCACGGAACCTCATACCAGTGTGGTGATGAGTCACCCGTTCTCGTTTCTAAACATTCTGCCTTACGACCTGAAGAGATACTTCACATACAAAGGTTCGCTGACCACGCCGCCCTGCTCCGAAGTCGTCATCTGGCTTGATTTCGAACAACCCATCAGGCTTACACACGAACAGGTACCTATACAATGTCTGTTTGTTCTTGTAATTAACTTCTCAATAATGGGAAAAGAATGAAAAAAAATCAGTTTCTATTTACTCATTTCCTTCCTTAGAAGTGAAAAAACGAATACAAAATTGCCGATGCATCTAAAGTACCCAAATAGGTCAATAATCACAAAAGTATGGTGTGTCTGGTCTTTTATATCATATTGATTGTGATATGTAGTGGATCCATGGATGGTGGATGGTTTATTCTACATCCTTGTGCCTAACACTAAAATGTTTGTATAAATTAACAGATATTTTCATTTTTTAAGGTACCAAAATGATTAAAAGAACATTTTATATATTTACAGATAGAAGCCTTTAGAGAGATAAGATCAGCGCACGGAAAGATCACACACAACTTCAGGCCGATCCAGCCAATTGGCGACCGAGTGGTGTTCTATAATATTGACAATAATTACTACATTTATAACGAGATTGAAGAACACGAAGAAACCAGTACTGGAAAACCATCGAAAAGAAAAAAGGGCCGTGGAAATGCTCACCGATTAGTTCCTACAATTGTATATACAATGACATTTACTACATTGCTGTTATTTAGCTTGTGATAATTTGTGAACTAATGTATAATCAGTTAAAAAAAATATTTACCTAGAACTTGTATTAGACTAAAATAATGTTGTTACTCAAGATCTTTAATTTAATGTCTGTTGAATGAATTTGAATGAAAACAATTTGTAAAGTATATCTTCTAATTTATAATATATCAACTAATTAGGTATGACCTATTTTATGTTGTAACTTTTATAATTTCTTATTGCAGATAGGATAGTAGGTTTAGATGAATTAATGTTTTGGTAATCTTTGCTGACATCTATGCTTCCCTGGTGGAAATATTCAAAGCTAGCACTAACAGTGAAATAAGAATTTTTGTCAATTTTGTTGGCCAGTCATCACACCAAACTGTTTCGGTAACTTCATTGCAATAAGTTATATATTATTATCAGCAAAGTTAACCATTACTAATTTGTTTTCTCATAATTTAAGTTAGTAAAAAATAAAGGTTTACTTTAGACAAAATTTATAAATCATGATGACTGACTTAGTTATTTTTTTGTTTCTAACAAAGAATATACAATTGTACACTATTTATTGTATACTGTGATATTAAACTAATTGCTAGTGTGAAATTGAAATTTTGTGTAATAAATTTCACCTACAAAAAGCGAAACAATTTTTTAATCAGAATTTTGTACAAAATACTGGTCAACTCCCATGCAATAAGATTTGCTCAACTGACTAGTCATTTAAATTACTGTTTTGGTAATTTTGCTTATGGAATACGAGGCAAATGAGCATACGGAGCACCAGAGGAGTTACAGGCGCGTAGCCAGACCTTTTTTTTTATGTAAACGATCGGCAAACGAGCAGACGGAGTACCTGATGGTAAGCAATCAACGCCGCCCATGGACACTTGCAACGGAGGAGTTACGAGTGCGTTGCCGACCTTTTAGGGATTAGGGACTTGGGATTTGGAGATTTAGGGATTGAGGAGGGATCGGGGGAGGGAAGGATTGGGCCTCCGGTAACCTCACTCACACGGCGAAACACAAAGCTGTGGTTGTTTCACGCCGGTTTTCTGTGAGGCCGTGGTATCACTCCGGTCGAGCCGACCCATTCATGCCGAAGCATGGCTCTTCCACCTTTAAAGAGTATGCTCATTTCTTGAAGGTTTGAAGGACATATCAGTTTGAAAATACCGCCGTCGTCGCCGATGATCATTCTACTTTTAGTGTGTGATGCGGAAATCGTATAGTTATAGATGTAGACTGCTAGCCATTGTTATATAGGCAATGAAAGTTTTTTCATATGGGTGGATGGCTAAAAAGATACGGCGTATATCAAACCGAACAATTCCTCGAAACAGTCGCCGTGGTACAGATGAAAGAGACTCTACATCCACATGCAGTAGGTTTAGTGGTAATAAATACGAGTTTGAGAAGAAAAATATAAAAAAAATCTGAACCTTATTTGTTTTACTTACAAATAACTTAAAAATAATTTGCTAAAATGTATTTGACACTTGTGTCAGTCTTCATCAGTAGCTCTGGTATCTGACATGGTGACCATGGCTCCAAGATTGTCTTCATTGCCCTGTTTTAATCTTTCCCATATCAATTCCGCTATAGCTTTTTGTGTTCTCCTTTCTAGTTTCTCCAGTTTCTTGGCTACATCTCTTTTGAGATCCCAATCTGGTTTCCTTGGAGCTAAACTTGATATGTCTAAGTCTTGCAACACTATCTAGAAACATCAAATTGAATGCTATTAGTATTGGATTTCAGACACAGCAGATAAACTAATATCTTTAATAAGTAATATGCATAAATTTTATTGTGATTGATGTTCAAAGACAATAATTAACATAACGGACAAACCACATCTGTGTCTTAAAAGTAGAGCAGATACAATTTTTTTCATATATCACAGACAAAAATAAATAAAAGGGGAATCTGTATTGAATGTAAATAACTGCTAAAATAATCATAAGTACCTTCTCTTTTCCCGCTTCAAGCAAATCTTTGACTTCTGCCTCCACTGCTGCAGGTTCAGCATCATCTAATTTGGCTTCCAGGAGTGAGTCATCCTGCGGTTTGTAGCTTCTGAATTTTGGTCTGAAAATCAACAATTAGTGAATGAGTTTTTTAACTTTGACTCCAGCTAAGTATGCATTATTGTACCCTTATGTGACAAAGATGCAGGGACAAGTTTTTAAAAAAGAACAAATGATGGGATCTGTCATTAAATTTGAAATCCTTTATTGCACTCACATATAAATACAGACAATCCAAAAAAATTCTTCTATAATATAAGCTCTATGTATATATAAATTAAGGATACATTTGTTTTTACAATTTTAGTAACTACTGACTATATTATTTGAGTATTTTCCAGTGGATCCAAGCCAACATGCTGCCAGGCATTTGAACCAATTGAAAACCACATGTATACGGCAACGTCAACAGTAATTTGTAGAAATTAACATAACATTAGGTTAAAACGTGATTATAAATAAAGCTTCCGTTGGTACATAAACAAAACATAACCTCACTGTCTTCTATAAGTTCTGAACTGGAACAAAACTTACTTGGGAAGTGGCACAACGTCAGCAGGCGTATCATTCGATGAATTTTCATTACTAGGATTCTTGCGTTTCAAATTTTTGAGCCTTTCTTTTCTTTTGAGTGCTTGTTCTTCTAAAGTACCAACACTTTCGCCTGTGTCCATTATAACCATGATTGTTGCGGTCAGAACTGTTTGAGTTCACTATAATTATGTTGAATATTATTTACAGAATTATAAAGAATCTACTAGCTAACTTCAATTGGAATAATTTAATATTTTTTCAATTTAAAATACAAACAAACTATAATTACAACTTCGATTCAGGCAGTTGCGTTTTTTTTGACAGTATTTGTCACTTTGACTTTGACATTTATGTAGGCGTGGGCTGTATTTATCATCACAGGTATAAATAACAGGTATTGCACGAATACCAGATAGCCACTGTTTTCAAGAGTAGAATTAACAGGTATTGTAAATAACAGGTTACCTGGTGGCTAAGTAACAGCTGAAGTCAAAGAGTATATAAACACTAAGTTCTAGGAACCTTCAAACCTTTGCAGTGACATCTATCGCACAACACGCAGCAACAGCACCATCACGATTGTACATTCCGATTTAACAGTTCTCGACTTAATTAGGACATGCAAAAAATCCTGACCGATACAAAAACCGTCGGGAAGTAGCCTGCCAAACACAACATCCGTCTAGGATCCTCCCTTTTCAAAGGAGGATGAGGAACTCTACACCCTGTTGTCCTTTCTAAAAGGCCGGCAGCGCCTGTGACTTTTCTGGTGTTACGGGTGTCCATGTGCGGATTGGTCACTTACTATCAGGTGACCCATCTGCTCTTTTACCTCCTATTCCATAAAACAAGCTGAAGTCTTAATCAAATTTCAAATCACAGTACCAGTTAAATAGTAGGCTGTCATTTTAATAGCAGGTTTGAGAACTGGGATTTTGTCACTAACAGTATAGTTGGCAACAGTGTATTGGCGGTTCTTTAAACATTAAAAAACAACAGTAACAAGACGAAACCGTAAGTAACTACCGTTACCTGGGTCGTATCGATACGAAAATATCTTCATTTCGACACGAAGTCTACTTATATTTGGACACGATACCTGTGTTCCGATACTTTAAATGTAAATGTAAGTACTTTTACAAGTACGAAATACTTAATCACAACATTATATAAATGACGACCGCCTACATTTAGAGCTTTTTGTACCACTCTTTGTGTTTGGTAGCTTTATTTTTATCAAATAGGTATAAATATATAAATGTCTTTTTTATTTCTGCTCTAATTTGTTTTGATAATTTAATACTTACGCCAACGCCTTACGAAATTAGGTGATTTTGATACGATTTTAAAATGCCCGTCTTATTTCTATATTTGTTATAATTTGCAACTAAAATTTCTCACGAGAACTCTTCTAGAGTGTGGCTATAGAGACGTCATGGCGTCCCTACCTGCGAGCAAAGGTAACTCGACGCCCGACCAGAACCGGACCCGAGCATACCCTCGGACACGAGCCGTGCGGCTCGTAGCGTTCCACGCGAAGAAAATAAGCGCTCTCAAATAGGTATACAATAGACTACCTCAGATGGTGCTCATCAGGGCTGATGATTATAAGGCACCGCTACCTCGGCATGGAGAAAGAACGGGGATTTTTAGTGAGTAAGACTTGGATACTCGCCCTTCCCGGGGCAAAACAAAGCAGTGGACCCGCCTGCCATGTTTAGAAATGAACTAATAAGTAAAAACAAGTGGTCAAGAGGAAAGGATAAGCAATTTTAAATGTAGTCGGTCGACAGTTCTTTGTGACATTAACTTAATCAGTGAGGCCGTTTTTATGTTAGTTGGTATATACTTACTAACATAAAAACACGGCACACCTCCCCCCCATCCTTAAATCCCTAATGACCCACATGAGGCTGGCGAAGCACTTGTAGTAATTCCTCTGGTACCTATACGAGTGTTCATGGGCAGCGCTGATTGCTCAACAAAAACATAAAAAACTCTTCAGTTGAAAAATGTTATTAAAGCTCCTTTTGACTATGACTATGAAATCGAATCGAAACTTCTTTCGAAAACACACAATTAAAATTAGTGCATCTATCCTGAGGCCCAATCCTCCCCCTCCCGCCATCCCTTCCCAATCCAAACACCTATCCCCAAAAGGACGGCAAAGCACTCGTAACTCTTTTGGTGTCCAGATGTACTTATCAGTTTGCCGAACTGTCCCATAAACAAAATCTGTTCTTAGATAAAAGATTTTTGTACTTACACTTACGCACGAAAACACGATTCATCGAGCAACTTGGCACATTAATCTTTGGGAAATACTTTTTATAAAATAAACTCAAGAAAATATATAAAAAAATGTTTATTTACACAGGTTATTATATTAAATGTTTTATTTTATTTATTTAAGTATATCCTACATGTGACTTTTATCTATTTATAACAATTTTATTCACGATGGTAAATTAGGACATTGTTATTTACTCAATTGAAATGAGGTCTAAAACTTTACTAAAGGTATACGAGTAAAGAAGAACTCGAACAAAAAGGTTAATATCATCATAAAATGTTGAGAATGCTTTCTACGTATTTAATTTAGATGGCATCATAATCTACTTGATCATAATTTACCATAATGCTGGTTAATGGAATGGGCCATTTTATATTTTACATAACTTAGATTAAAGATAAACGAGAGAAATAACGCAGCTTAGTAGGTACTTCTCGTAATTGTGGGGAAGTATATTTATTTGTAGTTTGTTAAAAAATAATAATATATGGTTTTATTTAACTAAAGGTATGTAAAACAATATAGGCACTAAAAGCTAAACTTATAAGTACTTAGATTAATTAAGAGTACTACCTAGGTAGCTAGCTACCTGCTCAACGATTATTTAAGATTTAGTATACAATTTGCTTTTTATTATAGGTATTTAAAATATAACACTGTTTATATAAACAATTTTCAATACTAAAAAGTGCATTCGTTTACCACATAAATTATTGATTAGGTAGGTACCTCCTCCATAGTTTCTGAAATTGTTCATTGTTTGGTTGTGATATGATAATTCTGTATTATTTAGTAGGTACATACTTATAACATTCTATTTTGTTTTAGGTTATCTACTACGATCTGGTAAGGTAGGTACATTCTTGATATTTAGTACGTCTAATTATTAAGCATCGGATCGATTAATTATATGCAGTTATTCTGAATGCGTCTTAAACAGTTATCCTATTTTACGACAATATTAACAGCACATAGGTATACTTATAAAGCTGCACCATTACTGACATCATTTTCTTAATTATACTACTTATGGCAGTTCAAATAACACATTATACAGTAAAATAAATAATTAACTTAAACTATAATAAAACAGCGTAAGGGGACTGGTAAAACGGCATTCTGTTATTTTTAAAATACTTTATGTTTCTGTGCTTCTTTGGTTATTTTGTCTTAATATGAATTTTTTTAATGGTCCAAAATGGTTTTAATAGTAGCTTTGAGGTTTAGAATCTAATAAATTCTAACGCCAATTGATTAGATATTTGTAAATTCTCAAAATAATGCTGCCTTATCGGTAATACAATAATTTTGAACTCAAAATTTTCCTTTGTTTTAACTAGTTATTTTAAAGTTTTGAAACAATTCGTGATTAAATAAGCGGCCTTACATGCCTCCGACTGTCGAAGGGAAACCTATTAGAAATATGGTTGGTAACTGCCACACCATGATTCAATGACAATACTTTTGATACAATGTTTAAATCTTCTTGGTTTCTGCCGTTTAAACCATTTTGAACTAGTAATTGTTTCAATTCAGCGTCGGCATTATTATAGTTTACATGGCCATTTATAGGATAGAAACGATTTGAATGAATTGGATTGAAATGGTTAAACGAATTATAATTTTGATTATTCAAACCAAAATTACCGACACCACTGTCTTGCCTGAACACACGATGATTTTGTTTTTGCTGGCCAAATTGGTCGGTTCTGACTTGATTTAAATTTAGTCCTTGGTGAAAGTTTTGACCTGAGTTGGGATGTAGAAAGTTGCTGATTCCTTGAGGCAAATGGTTTTCCTGTAATGGAAACTGATCAGGCTGTTGGCTGTGCAGATGTATGAGAAAATCAACTGCTTCACGATTTGGTAACTGTTGGTTTGTAACTGTGTTAGTCGCTTCTAGAGGCACACTGGGTTGAATAGTTACCTGACCGTTAGATCTTATTGGTGCATTTACAAATTGGTTCTGAGGAATATTTTTCTGGACTTGAAAATTATTAACAGAACTCTGTGCCTGGAACTTCTGAGAATTCAAGAAAATTTGCTGCCGCTGGGCTTCCTTTTGTTGTAAAAGAAATTGTTGTTTCCTTAAAAATTCTTCTTGTTGTCTTTGTTGCTGTTGTAAGAATCGTAATTGTTCCTCGAGAATTCTTTGCTTTTCTTCAAGTTGTCTTTGTAATAATAGCTGTTGATTTATGTAATCTGATTGGGGTACTTGGTTGAAATTTACACTTGGAATTATGGAACCGAGAGGTTGAGACTGTAAAATTCCAGACGCCAAATTGGTTGCAGGTAGCGGTCTCATAAAGTTTTGATTAGATGTTTGCTGATAAAGTGGTATTACTTTTTTCGGCAAACCTTGTGGATCCTGATGAACAGTAAAAGCCGCGACTAAAGGAGCTTGATATACTTGAACGTCACGTTTGTCGACTTCTTCAATATTTTCTCCATCTTCGTTGTGGGTCGGTTTCGGAGTGGTGGTCGTTGTAGTTGTTGTAGTGGTTGTTGTCGTTGTTGTCGTGGTTGGCTTTTTGGTGTTAGCACTGTTTTCATTGTTTGATTTAGAACCACTGGCTATGCTTCGTGTTTGTAATAAATTACTGTCCCCTTCTTTTGTTTGAAATATTTCAGGAAATGGAGCCGATGTTGGTAAGGTCGCTGTGACTTGACTTTCTACATTACCGGCCGTAGTACTCAGTATAGATATATTGTTATCAACTATGGTGGGTACATTGGTAGCATTGCTGGAAAAAGCGGCCTGTCCGTTGACTATAAATGAATGAATCTGTATTCCTTCTTTATCTGTCCGTGCTTCAGGAGCTTCTTCTCCGGTAGTAGCATCTGAATCCAAGCCAGTGGTTCCATCAAGAAGTTCAGTTCCTGTGGTGGACTCTTCAAGTTCGCTGAGAGCTTTTAGTAGGGCCTTTCGTATGTATGGGTCCAAACGGACTGATGGTTTTGGTTCTATTGTGTTAAACTGCTCATTGTAACTATCAGTAGTGGTATCTTCAGCCAAACCCAGCGAAAACAGAGAAAGGAGCATCAACGCCAGCATCTGAAAACCAAAATAAAATAACCATTATTTATATGAAATAGAATATAAATGTGATCTAATAGGAAATAAGTCATGTGGTCCATTATGTGTATATTTTATATTACAAACAATCGTCATATATCCACAGGCACATTGTAGATTCTCTTACTTCATAAACTGCTCGAGAAAGAAAATCATTTTTGTAGGCAAGTATATATATATTTATCCGGCCAATCGTTAATTGTTTAAGATTAGGTTTTAACGAAAACACACCAAATTTTTCGGAATGACCTAAATTATGACTGTAAAGATTGAAGTGAAATAAAGCCTTGGTGTGTCTCGGTTCATTAATTTCCATGGGAATATAATACACCGCTTAAAATAATCTTTTTGGTTGTAATCGCGCATTTAGATAACAAAGTCAAGAAACGATTTTACACATTTTCAGCAGGTTAATGATTCCATTAAGTATTCAACAATATGAGCAAATCTGCGATATGGCCACAATATACACCATGGTTACATACGGATGAAAAAATAGGAAATATATTTCCGACTACAGTGCGGCCGACGTATCTTGGCAAGTCTGAAGTTAGCCGTTTAGCTGCGCAGTACACAATTTTGTTCCTAAAAGATCCATTGCGCAGACAAACGGCTAACTTCAGACTCGCCAAGATACGTCGGCCGAACTGTACGTAATGTAGTTATTTAGACTACTTACGTGATATTTATTTAGACTACTTTAGATAATTTGGAGAAGGCTGTAGAATTGGTAGATATACCTAAGTAGGTAGGTACTCAATTGTGATTCATGTAAACGTTTTGTGACAATGTCTTGTATATGCAATCTTTCTAATCTCATGCATTCAACGCAATATTTACTAACTTACACTTCCACATTTCCATCGATTCAGTTTTTATTCACAAGTGTGTTGATTCGATTTCATTGTTTGTGATGCGCACAATGGCTGTTTTCTTGCGGATTGATTACATAACGGTACCTAATGGAATTAAAAAATATCCTGATTTTATGTAATTTAAAGTGTGATTCCAATACTATCATTTCAAAATGTTTTATTTTGAAATAACACTAAATAAAAAAAAACCCGAAATATTTTTTAAGTAGGTATGTTCGATTCTTATATATAATGAATTCGCGATTAAATATTTTTTAAATTAAGAATTGTGCGACTAATAGATCACGCAATATCTACGTATGATTTTTTTAGCATTGAAAAACAAACTTATAGCCAATTGCATTAATTGTGTTTTGCAAAACTCATCATCTGTTATACGTCGGTTGTATCAATATTCAATATGTTACGCACGTTTAATTAAACACAAAAGATTGTGATTACGTATGCGTGACCCCTGAAATATGTAAAAGTGAGTAGACATATACGCTTCATTTATCATCATGCGTTAAATAATCTTATTGTGATGTTTCCATTGTTCGGATACTGTTGATTTTTTATTAATAACCGATAGCGTGTAATTTGGTATGGCTGTAAAAATATAATATTATTTTGTACTTAGATTATGAAGATTTTTACAGCGCATAGTGGAAGTTATCATAAATTGAGGTTATATTTACCAACAAGTTTTGTATTAGGTATAGTATAACGTACATGTATATGTTAGTTTTAAGGTATGTATGTATAAGCCATTGTCACCTGAATGTAAAAGAGTACCTAAATTAAAAATTGAATAGAATTTATTTCCAAATAATAATAGTAAAACAACTTACAAAAGAAAAACGGTAAGTAGAGTACCTAAGTATTTCTCCTACCCGTAATTTATGCAAACGTACTTATAATGAAATGCATGGTGAATCTTAGATATATGAAATTGTCGCGAGTTTCCTGAGTGTAATAGATCGCTATCATTTTCCAGCCAATTACTTTGAAAAACAAAGACTGAGACAATTTGTTGCTGCAATGGAAGTGTGCTTGGGTTATTCTTATTCATTTGCGTATCTATGTTTCCAAATACTGGTAAAGGTACCAACTTAGATGGATTATAATCGAAGTTGTATTATTACAATATATAACGTTTTTTTCTAAAATGTAATATAAAGAAATGATCCTTATTCATTAGAACATGTCAATATTCATTCACGCATTGTTGTGCATTTTAAGGCAAACCCTTTGCCATCTTTACAGAGGAGGCTCGTAGTTGAGCAGGATGCTCTCGCTGGCTGTTGATGTAGAGCCCACTATCCAACTACGAAGTGGCTCGATAGAAAGTTGGAACAATCTGCTCACGGTCAAAGGTTACAATATTGGCCATTCTATATTGTAGCTGGCTAGGGCACGCGACAAACGTGTTGTCAGTAGTTCGATTGTCAAAAATTTAATCTATTTTCTTCAGTACTATTTCGAAAGCTTTTTTACTGTAGATATTGATGGCCATGTGAGTAATTATTAAAAACGTGATGGTGGCCTGCGGCTACTCGCAAAAGTTATGTGACGTCCGAATCATCACTTTCACTCAGCATAATTCACGAGGAGATGTGTCTCGCCGAATGTCAAATTCAATAACGTACTTTGGCACACCTACGCGGACGAAAACAACTGTGACATAAGCCTGGGACTCCGAGACGTAATTTTCTCATGCATGCTTAACATATTTCCTTATCACATGTATTGTTACTTCTCTCTAAAGAAACAATGATTAAATAATACGTAGCGTAAGTATATTGTACAGTTATTGGAATAAGACTATTTTAGCAGCACGCGTGGGTATATCATCGTGTCTTTAAATTTTTGCATTGTTAAAATTTACAAAAAAGTCTAACTTAGCCCCATTACTGTACGTTTGCAAGATGCCACTAATAGATAGCTTCGTTTAAATTTATTTATAATGACAAATTATATTTGACAATCTTGAAATCTCACTGGATATTTGGGTACTTAAGATGTTAGTTTTTTCTATCTTTACTTGAATCTATTGCTCCTACGTCAAGGTAGGTACTAACTGAATTGAACAAAGGTACGAATAGAAATCGAATAAATAAATATAGAACTATTAATTATTATTACAGGATGTGCATTACCTATTAATTTTAAGTAGGGCCTGGCTGATATAATAACAATCTTTTAAATAATAAGAAGTATATAATCAATTCATCATGCGTTGTTGGATGATAACTTTAGCGGGAAGGGAGACCAGATTTTTTTACAAATTAGTTTGAATTCTAGTAGTATTTGACCTTTTTGTAAATAAATATAACACTATTAATTATTACAGGATGTGCATTACTATTAATTTTAAGTAGGGCCTGGCTGATAAATAACAATCTATTATTTATATAAAATTAACAATACAATTTAATGGCGTAAGCTGTAATGTTGTATATGTAAATATTCTTAATAAATAAATAAAATCTTTTAAATAATAAGAAGTACATAATCAATTCATTATGCGTTGTTGGATGATAACTTTTAGCGGGAAGGGAGGCCAGATTTTTTTTATAATGTAGGTTTTATTCTAGTAGTATTTGACCTCCTTGCATATTAATCAGTTATGTAATTTTTAATGTGGGTTACATTGTTTTGTACTAGTGTGACAAATATTTGCCTAATTAATGTAAAAAAATCCGGATGCGAATAGTCGCAAGTTATTTAGAATACGAGGGTTTCACACGAGTTTTAGGTATGTGACGCTATTATATCCGTAAGTCCATAAAAGTGACGTGTACCGAAAGAGTATTCCATTTAAGATGAACTATTTTAAAAGATAGAACGTAAAGTCTGCACAAAAGAAAAAAAAACTTATTGACGCATCTACATACAATGTACTTTTGTATGAGCTTTCAAATCTATAGTATAGTAGGTATGTGTAATAGATGCCTTAAAGCTTTTTGTAATCCTTTATAAAAGCTTTAACTGGGTAATTACATAATGTATTCGGTCGCTTCTCGGTAAAAACAGCCCGGAGCATTTCTAAATGATGTGCCTATTATTTGGTATCAAAGGTCGGACATGAAGTCGTGAACACTTCTCATGTCAAAACAAAGTCATCAATACATTTCTCTTGTTGCAGTCACGTATGAAATACCAATAATAGCATTTGGAATTGAAGTAGGTACAGTGTTGTATCACAAAAATAAAAAGTACGTCAATATTTTCATTTTGGAAAAGTTGTTGCCTACTTTCTTATTTGTACGAGTTATGTTTCAAGAGAAAATCAGTTATCGAAGTTTTTTCCTCATAAACGCAAAAGCATGAGGTTGTGTAATATGGTTTACAAGTCAAAGTGTACTTATAATCCTATATTACGTAACGGCAATGTGCGAGAAGCAGTAGTATCGGTGAAACCTTCCAGCCGACTTGAAATCGAGTGTTTGACCTGCTATTGCACCCCTAACCAACTTGTTGGTAGATATCTCCATAACATATCTACTTACGTACTTGAGAATATTTAAGGTTTGCTGTAAAAACAAAGTCTCTTTCGCTGTACCTTTATCGCTATGTATACTTTAATCTTTGAAACTTCGCCACGGATTTTAATGCGGTTTTTTAATAGATAGAGTGATTGAAAAGGAAGTTTTATATGTATAATGATATTTATTAAATAGTAGAGAAATTATGTATCGGTATTGCACCAGTGCAAAGCCAGGGCGCATCGCTAGTTGTATATTAACTTCCTCTTAAGAGTTCAAGTATATCACAATCTAGATATCATACTGAAAATATTTCAAAAATGGTTATCATATGTTCCTTTTGAATAATAGTATTTTATTTACATTAATAGTTTTCTATTAATCAATTGTTTACGAAATCAGTTAATAATGTCGAGGTCACTGACATTAAGTAACTAAATAAATATGTAGGTACTCAATCTACGTAGTTACCATCACGTGTGAGTGACCGGTCTCAGAACCGTGCGTCCGTCGTTTGTTTTTGTCGCGTTCCTCCTACATGATGCACTTAAGTCAGTGTGGGAACTGACACACCGGAGCCGGTTCCAACTTCCAGAAATAGGTGTATTTTATTGCGCCTATACGC